ATTACTTTGTCAATCTGATAGGTGAAAAGTGGTATCTTGGTGTGGTTTTCAAATACATTGCTCCTATTATGAGCATAGTTGATGAAATTTTCACATGTTTAAGAACAATTTGTGTGTCCTCTTTGTTGAATTATCTTTTCATATCCTTTGTCTGTTTTCAACTAGAGTTGTTGATAGTTTTATTCATTTGTAGGTGCTCTTTATATATTCAGGAAATAACTCCTGGCTTGGAATAAGTTTTTCCTAGTTTGACACTTAGGTCTCTCATTTTTAAAAACATTGCATTGATGGGTTCAGGACATGCTACATCAAAATACAACTAGGATATCAGAATATGTCACCACCCCAAAATATGCCTCTTTGGCATAAGGATTATTTTGAGTTGATTAAGAAACAGCAAACACAGGAGAAGCTTTGAAAACAGAGTACAGTTGTCTTTTTATAAAAGAAATTTACATCTATAAAGGAAATCTCTATTGTAAGTCTCTCTGTGTAACAGGAAGAGAAGGATGACTCTAAATCACTGGAAACTTTTATTATTATGATTATTTTTTTTGAGACAGAGTCTCGCTTTGTTGCCCAGGCTATAGTGCCGTGGCATCAGCCTAGCTCACAGCAACCTCAATTTCCTGGGCTCAAGCGATCCTCCTGCCTCAGCCTCCCGAGTAGCTGGGACTACAGGCATGCGCCACCATGCCTGGCTAATTTTTTCTATATATATTAGTTGGCCAATTAATTTCTTTCCATTTATAGTAGAGACGGGGTCTCGCTCTTGCTCAGGCTGGTTTCGAACTCTTGACCTCGAGCAATCCACCTGCCTCAGCCTCCCAGAGTGCTAGGATTACAGGCGTGAGCCACCGCGCCAGGCCTGGAAACTTTTATCAAGGGAAAAGACAGTGACTGAAATCTGTGTAACAACCCTTATCTTTGTTTATGGTGTTTTTCCTGCCTGCTTCACCCTTCTTTCTTTGTTTCAGCAGATAATGGTATTTAAGCCACCTCTTGGAGATTGACTCATGTCCCTGGGTATCTCCCATGTAGACATGAGGTATACATGTTAATAAACTTGTTTGTTTTTCTCCTGTTAATCTGTCTTTTGTTACAGAGGTCTGTCTCAACCTAGAACTATGAAGGATAGAGAAAAAATTATTTTTTCTCCTCTACATCATCAGATTTAAAAACACATACAAGCCACACAAATCCTGCAAAATTGATCTTGTTTCTGAGCCACCAGTTTGCCACCTGTACTTACTAATCCTAAGAAAATGGATGGGTAAACCAAGGTAGGGAGCCTATCAATTGCATTGACTAGAGTCCTGCAGCTATAAGCATGGATTTCACTATACCCTGGTTCAGGACAAGGAGACACTTCCTAAATACTAGTTGTGCCTGACAGCAATCTAGGCCTCAGCTCTCTGGTAAGGGCTCTTTTCCAGGCTTGCAGACAGCCACCTTCTAGCTATGTCCTCACATAGCCTTTCCTCAGGTACTTGTGGCTGCGGTGGTGGATGTCTCTTCTCAAACAGACACTAGTCCGATTAGATCCGGTGCAACCCCTTTGCTCCCACCAAAAGGCCCAATTCAGAAAAAGTCATGACGAGGCTGAGGTTGAGCCAATTGAGGGAAACCTGCAAAGATGTAACCAGACCAGGCCTAGGGAAACCTGGGTTCTAATCCATGACCCGGGCAAGCCATTTCCCCTGTCTAGGCCCCTGGTTTCTCATCCACACAGTGGGATGTGGAGGGAGGTAGGGTGGTTAGAGGGTTAGACAACACTGGAGGATCTCAAAAAACTCCCTTCCAGCTCTGGGATTAAGAGAACCTGGGGACAATTTGGACATCCCAGGACAGCTCAATTTTAGAGGCTGTTCCTTGTTAAGGAAGACAACTTATATGTGCACATCACATTTCAGGAATCAAAATCTACTAAGCAAAACTGCATGAAGCAGACAGGGCAGAGATTCTTACCCTCATTTTTTTTTTTTTTTTTGAGCCAAAGTCTGTGTTGCCCAGGCTGGACTCACACTCCTGGGCTCAAGTGATTCTCCCACCTCAGCCTCCCAAGTAGTTGGAACTACAGCTCATACCACAGAGCTTGCTCACTCTCACTTTTAACATGAGGACCTGAGGCCCAGCTAGACGAGACGATTAAAAAGCAGGAAGTCATTAGGTCTGGGTTTACCTTCTAATTTAGAGACAGAAGAGCTGTGTGACCTTGGGCCAGTGAGTCACCTCGCCTCAGTTTCTTTACCTATAAAATAGAGACAATAAAAGCACATATTTTATGAAATTAGAAAGAAAATTAAGCTTATTGAATGGATTAATTATAAATAATGCATATCAAGCACTTAGCACAAGCCTATGTTATGAATATTTGAATATTTGTGTGAATATTTGTGTGAAATATTATGAATATTTGTGTCCCCCAAAATTCATATGTTGAAGCCCTAATCCCCAGTGTGGTTGTATTTGAAGATGGGCCTTCTAAGAAAATGATTAAGATTATATGAGAGGGCCGGGCGTGGTGCCTCACGCCTGTAATCCTAGCACTCTGGGAGGCCGAGGAGGGCAGATTGCTCGAGGTCAGGAGTTCGAAACCAGCCTGAGCAAGAGTGAGACCCCTGTCTCTACCATAAATAGAAAGAAATTAATTGGCCAACTGATATATAGAGAAAAAATTAGCCGGGCATGGTGGCGCATGCCTGTAGTCCCAGCTACTCGGGAGCCTGAGGCAGGAGGATTGCTTGAGCCCAGGTGTTTGGGGTTCCTGTGAGCTAGGCTGATGCCATGGCACTCACTCTAGCCTGGGCAACAAAGCGAGACTCTGTCTCAAAAAAAAAAAAAGATTACATGAGAAAAAAAAAGATTAAATGAGTTCATGAGGGTGGGGCCCTGAGCCCATAGGATTGGTGTCTGCATGAGAAGAGACAGCAGAGAGCTCACTCTCTCTTCCCCTGCACCACCTCAGCCAGCACCTGAGGAAATCATACGAAGAAGACACAGCGAGAAGGTGGCCTGGCTGTCTGCAAGCCAGAAAGAGCGCCCTTGTCAGAAACCAAACCAACCAGAACCCTGACCTTGGACATCCAATCTCCAGAACTGTGAGAAAATAAATTCCTGTTAAAGCCACTCGGCCTGTGGTATTTGTTATGGCAGCCCGAGCAGACTCAAGACACCCTGGCATATCCAATACATTACACAACATCCAATACACAACAACACATTCGTTATTGTTGTTATCTGTTGTTACTTTTTTTTTTTTTTTTTTTTGAGACAGAGTCTCCCTTTGTTGCCCAGGCTAGAGTGAGTGCCGTGGTGTCAGCCTAGCTCACAGCAACCTCAATCTCCTGGGCTCAAGCAATCCTTCTGCCTCAGGCTCCCGAGTAGCTGGGACTACAGGCATCCGTCCCCATGCCCGGCTAATTTTTTCTCTATATATTAGTTGGCCAATTAATTTCTTTCTATTTATAGTAGAGACGGGTCTCGCTCTTGGTCAAGCTGGTTTCCAACTCCTGACCTGGAGCAATCCACCCACCTCAGCCTCCCAGAGAGCTAGGATTACAGGCGTGAGCCACTGTGCCCGGCCCAACCTGATTGTTTATAACTTGCACATATAATTTTCAAAGTTCCTCTACTTCTGCGAGCTTTACCTCACAGTGGTCCTGGGAAGCAGGCAAGCGTTTCCAGCACCTACCCAAGGTCATGCTGCTGCACGTGGGGACAGATGTGGAACTAGAACCTGGGTCTCCTCCTCATTCTGACCCGCATTGTGAAAAGACATGAAGTCCATACACGTGGGCCTCCAAACCGTGTAGTGGAGGATCCAGGGAGGCTGGGGCTAAATCCATGACTGTGACTTAGGAGATGCTTGGTTTCTGCAGAAGTGAAGGAGAACCAAGGAGCAGGGACAGAGGCTTTTGCTCCGTATCCAGTTTCCGCATACACTGCCACCCTGCCTTTGCGGCTGCTGTTCCCTCTTCTTAGAACACCATCATCCCACGCTCTTACTCTAGCCAGCTCACCATGCTTCATAATACACTTGGGATTCTTCTCTCTTCCGGAAACCTCTGCCACTCTCTGAAGCTGCATCAAGTGACCCTCCTCCGTGCTCCCATAGTATCAGGTGATTCTCGGATCATTATCATTAAAAATGCAGAGGCTGGCCAGGCACGGTGATGCCAGTACAGGCGGGAGGATCACTTGAGGATAGGAGTTCGAGACCAGCCTGGGCAACGTAGCTCAGGGTTGGGGTCTCTCTGCCTTTGCACGGAGGCGTGGAGACTCCTAGCCGTGTATGGGGGCACATAGTAGGCCGGCAGTCTGTAATGGGCAGAGAGTAAAATAAGGGAGGCTGAGTAGCCTCTCTTTGAAGTAGGCTCTTGAAGTCCATCCTGGGGCTTCCCCCAGCCAACTGCTCCCCAAGTCGGCATATAGTGGGCACTTACTAAATACCAATCAATATTAAGCCTAGTAAAGGACTGGATGATGGTAGCCCGAACCCCCAAAGCGAAGGAAAATGGGTCTAAAGCACCCCCTTGCGGTGCTCTGCACCAAGCAACCTGGGAGAGCGTCGTTGCAGGTCCGCCACCGAATGCTGGACAGCACAAAGGACCCCACACCGCCCGAGGCAGCGGTCCTTGGAGGGCCTGTGGTCCGCGCCGTCCCCCACCCATTTCTAGAGGTGGGGCCCTGGGCTCACGGAGGGAACCGACTGGCCGGGGGCTCCGGGCGTGCGCTAGGGGCAGGGTTAGGGCCGCCATCTGACCAGGCCGCCCGTCGCGGAGCTGCAAGCATCCCTTACTCGGGGCGAGCGTGTATTTAGGGTGGGGCGGGGGGACTGACGGAGACCCGGGCTCTCCCGCGCGGCCGCCCCCTGCGCAGCCGGGACTGGAACCCGGATGGGCGGACCCGGCGCCGCCCCCTGCGCGCTCGCAGCCTGGTGCACGGCGCCCCCCAGCGGGCCGCGGGGACCAGGCGACGCCGCGCGCTCCAGGGCCCGCCCGGGTCTCCCGACAAAGAGCGCGAGTTCCCAGGGCTGAGCCCCGGCGCCGGGGACCCGGCCGCGGCCCAGAGAGCCCTCTCCTCGGCGGCCTGCTCGTCTCTGCCGAGCGCTGGGGACAAGGTCCACCCAGCGAGCGCGCCGGCGGCGCGGGGCGTGGGCTGGGCCTCCGGACGTAGGGTCCCCGGGGCGGGGCTCCCCGTGTCCGCTTGTCGTGCACTGTCCAGCCGGAGTCCGTCAGTGTCACACGCTCGGGCCCGAGATGACGGCGAGCAAGCGAGTGGCGAAGGTAACCGCGTGTGGGATGCGCCCTTTCTCGTGCCGCCTTCCCTGTCCCCTCCTCCCTCCGTCTCCTCCGCGGTTCTCCGTCTCCTCCGCGGTTCTCCGAGCGCATTTATTTATTTTTCTGGGCACCAGGGCTAGCTGCATCCCTGCCACCCCCGCCCCCCAGAGCAGGACTGGGTCTGCGAGAGGGGCAAGAGCTGGAGTTTTGGGGCCGGAGATGTCGCTAGCTCCTTGAGCTGCGCTGGGGGTGAGGAGGAGCCGGCTCCCTCAAACTGGTTTCAATTTCATTTCTCCTGCCCTCCTGCCGGAAACTTAAACTTACGATAACAATTGAGCATGTCTCAGGTTCAGGAAGGGTTCCTTGGCATCTCGGTGCCAGGCGTTCTGCTGCTGGTGGTGGGTGGGTGGGTTATGGATGACCAGGGCAACGTCCCTGCCTTGGAATAACCCATGGCCTATCCCATTATTTGATGCCTACGTTGCTAGAGTCCTGAGCAGCAGGGGATGCTGATTAGAATTTGGGGGCAAAATTGCCTGGATAGTCTCTGAAGGGAAAGATCCCGAGGTTGACCTGGAAGACCTCCTGGAGTAGGTGGCTTGTATCCATTGGTTCGATAAATGTTGAATGTCTGCATGGGCTGGCCCTGTTCTAGGAAGTAGGGGAGACCGGGATGAACAACAATCCTGCCCTCTTTGAGCCTTCATTCCTGTTAGGGGCACAATTTGAAATAAGGTCTGGAAGGATGGGGGGGGGAGCAATTTCCCCCAGGAGGTGGGAAAACCCAGGGTGTTTGGAGGACGGGGTGTAGCAGGAGATGGAGATACATGGGGAGAAGCCCCGGCGAGGGGGTACTGGCACCCCCAGGCTTTGTGTGTCTCAGAAGTGCGCCTCTGATCTTAAGAGAAAGAGTTGCCCCTTCAATCTGCAGAGAGGAAAGGCAGGCTTGAGGGGAGAAGGGGGTGCTTGCTACTGTCAGCCTCTGAGAAGAAAATGGTCTCAGACTGGGGCACCCAGAGCAGGCTTGGCCCAGAACTGAAATCTGCTGTTTGGTAGAAACACAAGGCAGAGGGTCTTTCCAGCCAAGTGGGAAAGAGGGGGGAGCCAGTATTTATCACACTGGCTCCATTAAATGCCAGGCAGTTTTCATCAGTTATTTTTCATCTAATTCTCACAGCAACTCTGTGAGATAAATGATATACTCCCATTTTACAGATGAGGAAATTGAGGCTGAAAGAAGACAACTTGGTTGTCTGAGGTCATTCTGTAGGGAGCGATGGGGCTGAAATTTGAGCCCAGGCTCATGGGGTTCTAGCCTACAGGCTCTTTTAATGGCCTCTCTCATTTTCTGTTCATCCAAGTCAGGTGATTTCCTCGCAGGCATTAGGAAAGAGCTGTGTGTCCTGGCTTGGGTTTCAGTTTCCTCAGGCTTTGGGAAAGTTCTGGCAGAACTCAAGTATCACAGATAAAGTCCAAGTGTTCCTAGTCATAGTAAAGTCAGGAAAATGTCTATTACAGATCTTCTTTGTTCTACCTTGGGCTTCATTCCTGTCAAAGAGTCACAGACAACACTGAAATCAGGACTTCCAATAACAGATGCTTCTAGTTTGGGGTAAAGATAAATGAGAGGCCATAGACTCTGGGCAGAAGTCACCAGAAGGAATCTGTTGGCTGTCAGAAATGGAATATAAGCTGAGAGATAGGAGGAGGCAATGAGGTGTGCTTATATGTTGGGTGCGGGCAGGGAAAGCTCAGATGGTCCACAGTGTTGAAGCCCTCCCCCCCAACTGTGGACTGGGCTTGGCCTTTCTTGACACAAGGGTTTCTCGACCTTGTCGCTATTAACATTTGGGGCCAGATAATTTTATGTAGGATGTTTATCAGCATCTCTGGCCTTTACTCACCAGATGCCAGTAGCATCCCCCCGATTTGTGACAATGAAAAGTGTTTCTAGATAATGCCAAATGTCTCCTTGTGGGTAAAGTCACCTCAAGCTGAGAATCACTGGCTTCCACCCACTGACCATTCCAGAGGAATGTGATCTACCCTTGAATGTCTTTTTATCTACCTCCCACAAAAAAGGACTGTAGTCCTTCAAGATGGACCCCAAAAGGGAGCAGTTCTCCTTGATCACAGACATTTGAGAAGTACTGCATGCTGTGGGTTTGTATCTTGAAGAGTCACCATACACAATAGCATATCAGAGGCCCTGGGAAGTTCTGCAGTGAAGAAACCTCTTTAGCCTAGTTTTCCCAAACATACTTGACCATGGAACTCTTTTCCTGTAATAACTATTACAGGATAGTAATAACTTTGCACAGGACACACTGAACACATTTACCCTAACTAGGCCCCCTGCCTTGGTGTCTCTCCCCTTCTCTGCATGGTAGACTCCTATGCATTCTGCATGGCCCAGCTCACAGTGTACATCTTATGTGAAACCTTCCTGCTCCCTTCCGGTCTCCTTCCCTACTGTGTATTCACACATGTTGTTTCCTTTGTTACTCCAGTGAAGTTCTTGAGGCCGGGGCCCTGTCCTAGCCAACCGTCAGTAGAGGATGCTCAGTAAATGGCTGTTGGGAGAATTCAGTGATGTCCAGGTGAATGGGCCACATTTCTAGGAAGGGAAGTCACTCTTGTCCCCTTGTTTCTTTGCTAGAGTTCTTCTCCACTGTGGTCTACCTGAGTAATTTCCCTTCCCCAGCCCTGGTTTGGTAGAGTTTGAAGAGGTGGGCTGATGGCTTTGCTGTGGACTTTCAGTCAATGCATATGGGAGGAAGAGAGGAAGGAAGAAAGGGAGGGAATTAGGACCTAGTGACTTTCTAGGAGGGAGGCAAGAGGACAGAGGTTAAGTATTTTGCTTTCAGGAGAAAAAAAGTTCCTAAGAGAGTTTACTCCCAACTTTTAACATATGGAAGAATATCTTTTCCCTACGTCTAGTACCTACAGAGTTGTGGTATGACCAAAATCAGGTGATTTACTTAAAACACCTAGCGCTATGCCAGATTTATACTAAGTGCTTAGTAAATAGGGGCCTTGGCTTTGCCAGCTGCTGGCCCTGGGATGTCCTGTTCTAGATCTGGGACAGCGTGCGGCTGGTGCAAGGGGGCTGACGTAGGGAGGACTAGGCCAACTGCCACTTGCTGTGCTCTCTGCAGGAGCTGGAAGATCTTCAGAAGAAGCCTCCTCAATACCTGCGGAACCTGTTCAGCGATGATGCCAATGTCCTGGTGTGGCATGCTCTCCTCCTGCCCGTGAGTGTCTTTCATGGGGATCATGGCTTTGGCTTCCATGGGTTTGCCTTAGGCCAGGGGCATGGGTAGGGAGGGTTAGGACTAGGCAAGAATTTTTCCTGCCTTAGGGTCCTTTCATTGAAGGTTATCATTGCTGGAAGGGATCTGTCTCTGGATTGATTGCTTCGGAGGTCTAGGCAGACTAGATGAAGATGCTAAAAGACTTTTGGACTTAGTAGTAGACCTCTTCCTCAAACCAGTAGCCACTACGGCCACCATGGAGGCTTCAGCAGGCAAACAGCATCAAAGAGGAGAAGAAATAAAGATCTCTTGTATCTTTGTCAAGGCTAGGGATAAACTTCCAGGTTCCCACAGTTAGTAGAATTTGCTCCCCTAAACCTAAAATGTATTTTGTTTTCTTTTAAAGGTCTTACTTCAGAAAATTACTGTTACATATGATAACACAGTTATTTCATCGCTATCATTCTCATTTTTCTCCATTTGTTATTTGATATTATCTTGATAAAAATCTCCCTTTGAAAGCAGTATTCCAAAGAACCAATCAAAATGCAGGATCTCTCCTTTGTCATACAATTATTAGTGACTAAAGATGCCTTCTTCGAGAAATTCATTTATTGAATTTCATATATTCAACTTTTGGTTACTTAGAAATAAAAATTAAGGCATTCGAGCTTTTTGTTAGTCAAAGCTGTTTGGAATATCAAGAGAGCAATTCATCTTATTATTTAGGATTTGGACTTCTCACTGACAATGCAGTGGCCTCGGTTGTGTCACCTTGTCTTCCACCTGACCCGTAGTCCAGAAAAATGGAGAAAGGCTTGAGTCAGGTCAGCATTGGAGACTCTATCATATTCCTTGGGCTGCTGTGTTAAAGCGATTCACTTACCTGGCTTGGAGTGAGGATATCTGTTCTGGGCTCAGGTACCAGGGGAAGAAGATGCTAGAAGGAGCTACAGGGTCTGATTAGATCTCCAATGAGACCAGCTTTAAGATGATGAAATGGTGGGAGGAGCAGGTCAGAAGGAAGAGGTGGGTGGTAGGAAAACCTGGGAACAATCACATTTGGAAGATACTATGAAATCAGGGGATCTCAATGGTTGGCAAGACCAAGATGGGTAGGTGTGCCCCCAGAGTGGTCCAGCCATACAGGGGTCCTGAAGAAGCATGCTGGTTGGGAAGAGTCCCAGGGCTGGAGGACCAAAGCTTTTTGCAGAATAACCAGCTAAGGGTACCTGAAGGTGGCTGGTGAAGCCATAAAGGAGGGGATGGTTTGGCCAGCAGGGGAAGGAGAATGGAGAAAAGTCTTTGGGGTGAGCAAATTGTCCCTCAAAGGCTCAGCTTCAATTCACTGAGGTGGCCCCACTTGTCACATCTGGGTCATGGAAGGTTTCAGCTGGATGAGCCTTTTAGAGCTTGTAGTAAGAGTTCCCATTCCTTGAGAGTCCCCTATGGACTAAGTGCTCTTTTGAGTACATGACATATGAGATCATATTGAATCCTTTTAACCAGACAATGAGGAAGGTCATCTTCCTTTTATGGTTGAGGAGAAGGAAACCAAGGAGGTTAAGTAACTCGTCTGTGGTAACCCAGAATAAGGTAGCAGGGCTGGAATTCAGCTGACTCCAGAGTCTTCTCTCTTAACCACTCCGTGAAAAATGAATGGTTTTCAAACTTCTTTTATCCTTTTTTTTTTTTTTTTTTTTTGAGACAGAGTCTCCCTTTGTTGCCCAGGCTAGAGTGAGTGCCGTGGTGTCAGCCTAGCTCACAGCAACCTCAAACTCCTGGGCTCAAGCAATCCTCCTGCCTCAGCCTCCCAAGTAGCTGGGACTACAGGCATGCGCCACCATGCCCGGCTAATTTTTTCTATATATATTAGTTGGCCAATTAATTTCTTTCTATTTATAGTAGAGACGGGGTCTCGCTCTTGCTCAGGCTGGTTTTGAACTCCCGACCTCGAGCAATCCACCCACCTTGACCTCCCAGAATGCTAGGATTACAGACGTGAGCCACCGTGCCCAGTCCAAACTTCTTTTAAATATCAAAATGCTTTGTTTAACCCAGAACTTAGAAGGCAGTAGGAGTTTCTCAGCTGCTCTAAAGTACAGTATGAAATCCTCTGTCCAGTCCATCCAATGTCTTCATTTTACAGATGAGGAAACTGAGCCCTAGAGAAGCCCAAAGTCACACAGCACGCAGGCAGAGCAGGGCCAGGTCCGCGGAGCTCTCAGCTTCAGGATCCTGCTGCCCCCTTCCTCTGTTAAGAAGCCCCTGCAGGCAGGACACACAGATACCCTCTGTCTTAGTCCCCTTAGTGTTGCTATAAAGGATTGCCTGAGGCTGCGTAATTTCAAAAGCAGAGAGGTTTATTTGGCTCATGGTGCCGCAGGCTGTATAAGAAGCTTGGCGCCAGCATCTGCCTGTGTGAGGGCTCCGGCTGCTTCCACTCATTGAAGGGGAGTGGGCATCACGTGGCAGGAGACGGGGGAAGAGTGAGGGGAGGCACCAGGCTCTCTCTAACAACCAGCTCTGGTGGAACTAATAGAGGGAGAACTCACTCATTACTGTAAGGACAGCACCAAGCTATTAGCCATTCATAAGAGATCCACCCCCGTAACCCAAACACCTCCCATCAGGCCCCAACTCCAATGCTGAGGGTCAAATTTCAACCTGAGGTTTTGGGGGGCAAATACCCAAACTATAACACCCCCCCCCCATCCTGCTCTGAGGCCTCAGCCCTGGTCTTGTCTTACATTACAGGTCCAGCCCTTTCTTATCATTGAGACCATAATAGCAAAGACATTATCTGCCCAGTAGTTCATCCATGTCTTATCTCAACACACCCAAGATCACTATGGTCTCGTTTTGCCTTCTGTGGAGGAACTGTTGAAAAGGTTGGCTCTGTGTTTAAGGACACAGGCCATTCTCACTCTCCTTACCCTGTCTTATTAGTAACAAAGGTTCTGAAGAGATTTGGTGCTTTGGAACCAGCCTGAAGGCCCCCTGTGCTCTGCATTGGGGTCATCCAAGTTCTGGGGTTCCTCCCTCCTAGGGGTGCAGAGTAGTGGAGACATGGAGATGTAGAGTCAAGAGCGCTGGGCTTGGCCAGGCGAGGTGGCTCACGCCTGTAATCCTAGCACTCTGGGAGGCCGAGGCAGGCGGATTGCTCGAGGTCAGGAGTTCAAAACCAGCCTGAGCAAGAGTGAGACCCCGTCTCTACTAAAAATAGAAAGAAATTAATTGGCCAACTGAAAACATGTATACAAAAAATTAGCCGGGCATGGTGGCACATGCCTGTAGTCCCAGCTACCTGGGAGGCTGAGGCAGGAGGATCGCTTGAGCCCAGGAGTTTGAGGTTGCTGTGAGCTAGGCTGATGCCACGGCACTCACTCTAGCCTGGGCAACAAAGTGAGACTCTGTCTCAAAAATAAATAAATAAATAAATAAAACACTGGGCTCCCACCAGTGAAGCCACTGTGGCCCTGGGCAAATTATTTACACACACTGAGCTTGAGTTTTCTCATTTGTAAAAGGAGCTACTAATAGTCATGAGTTTCATACTTACCATGTAGCTGACACCTGCAGTGCTTGCCATGTGCCGGGCCCTTGGCATAAGATAAGTTATTTAATCCTCACGTAAGCCCTATGAGGAAATCTACTATTAGCCCCATACGGAAGCACAGAGAGGTTAAGTTGCTTGTCCAATACTGCACAGCTGTTGAGTGGCAGAGCCAAGATCCACACCCAGGCAGGGTAGCTCCAGGGTCTGTGTAAGCCCCACCCTCTGCTGCGCAGGCTCGTGCATGTCAAGCCCTGAGCACTGGGCGGCACAGATCAGATAGGTGCTCAGCAAAGTCTTCGGTTTGCCGGAAGCCTGGAGGGTCTTCTAATGGCTCCTGGCAGCTCCCAGCCCCGCAGTCATTTCAGCCCCTGAGTTTGACTTTTTTTTTTAAACCCTAGTAAAATACACATAACAGAATTTACCATCCCAGCCATTTTTGAGTGTACAGTGCAGTGGCATTAAGTACATTTACATTGTTGTGCAACCAGCACCACCATCCCTCTCTAGAACTTTTCATGCCCCTAAACGGAAACTCTACCCATTCAACAGTAACTCCCCATTGCCCTCTCGCCCCTGGTGACTACTTTTCTATTATTTATTTATTTATTTTTTATTTAGACAGAGTCTCACTCTGTTGCCTGGGCTAGAGTACCATGGCGTCAGCCTGGCTCACAGCAACCTCAAGCTCTTGGGCTCAAGCAATCCTCCTGCCTCAGCCTCCCAAGTAGCTGGGACTACAGGCATGCGCCACCATGCCTGGATAATTTTTTCTATATATTTTTAATATAGAATATTATTAGAATAATAATATTTCTATATATTATTAATTTCTTTCTATTTTTAGTAGAGATGGGGGGGGGGGTCTCACTCTTGCTCAGGCTGGTCTCGAACTCCTGACCTCGAGTGATCCTCCCGCCTCGGCCTCCCACAGTGCTAGGATTACAGGCCTGAGCCACTGCGCCAGGCCTTACTTTTCTATTTTATATTATGCATTTGACTATTCTAGGTACCTCACATAAGTGGGCATCATACAGTCTATGTCTTTATTTTTGGTCTGGCTTATCGCATTAACATAATGTCTTCAAGGTTCATCCATGTTGTAGCATGTGTCAGAATTCATTCCTGTTTGAGGCTGAATAACATTTCATTGTCTGTGGGATGCTGCACTTTGTTTATCTATTAATCCACTGATGGACACTTGGTTTGCTTTCACCTTCTGGCTGTCGTGAATAGTGCTCCTGTGATCGCTGGCTAACGGATGCCTGTTTGTGTCGCTGCTTTCAGTCTTTCGGGTGTCTCCCTGAGTGGGATTGCTGGGTCATATGATAATGCTGCGTTTCATTTTTGAGAAACTACTGTATAGTTTCCCACAGTGGCCTCGCCGTTTGACTTTCCCAAGCCCCTGCATTCTCAGGATTTCCTCGTTCTCTCCATCTCTTCGTCCCCAATGATGATGTTCTCCTGAACTTGCTAACAGCTCTCGAAGAGAGGATGTTCTGGTCTTTTCCGCTTCCAGAATTCTCTGACAGTCTTTAAAACCTGGATGGTCCTTAGAGCTCATGTAGTCCATCTTTACCCATTTTTCAAATGAGGAAACTGAGGCCCAGAGATGGGAGATGGCTGGCCTGTGGCCACACAGCAGAAGTAGGAACAGGCTTCTCTACCTTCTTCGGTGATTCCACCCTTCTGCTAATTCATGACGCAGGTGCCAGGAATATCCCTGCTCCTGATTCTTCCCGACAGTGGACCAGAGGGTGCCTGGGACCCTGGGATGGGGGCAGGGGGAGGAAACGCAGATGATAGCTTGACCCCTTCTCTCTGCACAGGACCAACCTCCCTACCACCTTAAGGCCTTCAACCTGCGCATCAGCTTCCCTGAGGAGTATCCGTTCAAGCCCCCCAAGGTAAATTTCACAACCAAGATCTACCACCCCAACGTGGACGAGAATGGCCAGGTTTGCCTGCCCATCATCAGCAACGAGAACTGGAAGCCTTGCACCAAGACCTGCCAAGGTACGGCTGGGCCTCGCCTGGGGGCAGGGGCTGATCCTGGGCTCGGGGGTGGCGGGGGTTACTGGATGGAGGTTATGGGGCTTATTTCGACTTATAAAAACCCAAAAGAGAAGAGATGAAAATTGCGAGTCTCAGCTGAACTTACCATCAGATAGAAGGATGCTTCCTGTGATCCTAGATGGGCTGACTTGCTCCTGCCTCTGTTCCTACACCTGGGCAGGTGTGACAGAGGAACTTTGCCACGGTCTGTGGGAAAGAGAGGCAGTTTGGCTGCTAGGGGCAAAGGCATGGCTTGCTGCTCCATCTGTGGACTTGGGGCAAGTTGCTGTTCCTTTCTGGGACTCAGTGCACTAAATGGCCATGGAGGGGGGTGGCCTAATAATGATAATACCCATCACGTAACTGTAATGCTATCAGTAACCCTGGTTTTTTTTTTTTTTTTTTTTTTTGAGACAGAGTCTCACTCTGTTGCCCTGGCCAGAGTGCCATGGCGTCAGCCTAGCTCACAGCAACCTCAAACTCCTGGACTCAAGGGATTCTCCTGCCTCAGCCTCCCAAGCAGCTGGGACTACAGGCATGCACCACCATGCCCAGCTGATTTTTTCTATATATTCTTAGTTGGCCAATTAATTTCTTTCTGTTTCAGTAGATACGGGTCTCACTCTTGCTCAGGCTGGTTTTGAACTCCTGACCTTGAGCGATCCTCCCGCCTCGGCCTCCCACCTCACCTGGCCATTTGCCCCGTTTAATAGACAGGGACACTGAGGCATATGACAGGTGAAGTGGTCGCCTAAGGTCATACGGCTGGGAGAGCAGCCAGCAGAACTTCCCGCAGCAATGGGAATGCTCCACAGCTGAACTGCAGTCACCAGCCGCGTGTGGCTAGTGAGGCACCGAATTCTTCACTGTATTTCATTTTAATTAATTTAACTTTATTTATTTATTTGTTTTTGAGACAGGGTCTCGCTTTGTTGCCCAGGCTAGAGTGAGTGCCATGGCATCAGCCCAGCTCACAGCAACCTCAAACTCCTGGGCTCAAGCGATCCTCCTGCCTCAGCCTCCTGAGTAGTTGCAACTACAGGCATGCGCCACCATGCCCAGCTGATTTTTTCTATATACATTAGTTGGCCAATTAATTTCTTTCTATTTTTAGTAGAGACGGGGTCTTGTTCTTGCTCAGGCTGGTTTCAAACTCCTGACCTCGAAAAATCCGCCCGCCTCGGCCTCCCAGAGAGCTAGGATTACAGGCGTGAGCCACCGCGCCTGGCCTGATTTAACTTTAGATGTCCCCGTGTGGCTCGAGGCTACCATGGTGGACACTGCAGCTCTAGAGCCTGTGGCTTCATCAGTGCGCTGCCCTGCGTCTGGACCAGCTCAGGAGCTCTAAGCCCCAAGACAGGGATCCCTGGGGTGGCGGGGGTGGGGAGCAAGGGGGGGACAGAGGAGTGGACAAGCTTCGGGGGTCTGTGGAGCGCTCTCACTCGGAGCTGTACATGCGCGTGTGCGTGTGTGCACGTGCCCAGCGTGATGGGCATCTGTGAAAGATGAAGGGCCGTGAGGTGTGGTGGTTTTCAGTCTTCGGCCTTAGAGCCCTTCTGTCCAAATCAAAGTTCATTTGGATGACCCTTAAATGGCTCTGGAGGACAGCTCATGAAAAAAAAAAAAAGTTTATTTGGAATCTCACTATAACAAAAACAGAGTGGTTCTTGTTGGAATGGGGGCAAGACTCAGAAACCCCACTTATCTCAGTTACTTCCATGGTAAGAAGCTTCTCTGAAGCCGTGGAACTAGTTGTTTGAGAACCACTGATATGACCAGTCATGGCTTTGGGTATGGTCAGCCAAGAACGAGGGGGACATTTGATTTGGCTGTAGAGTCATCCTAAGAGGTGGAACCTTTTCGGGGGATCTGGGAATGGGCAGTCCTCTCCTCCTTCCGGGGTTTTTTTCCCTCTGCCCTGACGCCCCCACCTGCCTCTCTCCCCAGTCTTGGAGGCCCTCAACATGCTGGTGAATAAGCCGAACCTGGGGGAGCCCCTGCGGGTGGAACTCGCCGACCTGCTGACGCAGAATCCAGAGCTGTTCCGAAGGAACGCGGAGGAGTTCACCCTCCGATTTGGAGTGGACCGGCCCAAATAACTTGGTTCTGACCCCTCACTGCGCTGGATCTTCTGCATGGTGGATGGACACACCTCGTGGACTGGGGCGAGAGCCCCTTTATGGCCCCTTCCCTGTGCATTTTTCCTCCTTGGGTTGTTAATCGTGAGTTTGTGTGTGTGTGTGTGTGTGTGTGTGGCGGAGGGAGGGGGCCATGGGTACGTGTGTTGTAGGTGGACTCACTCCCAGGCTCACCTGGCTACAGGTGCACCCTCCCACCCCTCTTGCCTTCCCTAGAGCCAGGGGAGTTAGGTTTGCAGAGGTACAGGCCGTTCCCCAGCTGCCCATCTTAGAGGGGCCCTCAGGCCAGCTTGCTGGGGATGCAGCCCAGCAGGCAAGCAGAATCCCCCCAGGCCCAGGCATTGAGGGGCCGGGGGCAGTGGGGAAATCTTAGTGGGGGAGGCACCTGGAGGGTCCCATGTTGACCATGTGATTAAAATCAGCCCAACGACTGCTAGGCGTGTTCAGATTTAGGTGCTAAACCTTTTATTCTCCACTGATGAATCATAGTGTGAAGAATCTAACTTCCATCCCAGAACTCTGACTATATGTTTCGAAACCACTCGCTTTCTCTCCCTTTGGGTCGCCAGTTCCTAAGGACCACGCCTCAGGCTGTGAGGTGTATGCATCCATTCCAGGGTTGGGGGGGCCCACAAACCATGTGCTTGCCTGCCATTAAAGTCACAGGTGAATCCCAGAGTTCAGCGGAGTCCTCTGAGTCCTCGATGAGGGGATGGGCTGGGGAGTGAGCTGCTATCTAGTAATGAAAGGTGTGACTCTGCTTTCCTTGGAGACGGTCCCCAGACACTGCAGGGGGTGCTGGCCGGGAGAGAACGGCCATCCTTGGCCAGAGGAGCCTTCAGAAGGTCCACGGGGAACATCCCCAGTTTGTAGATGAGACAGCCAAGGCACAGAGCATTCCAGTGGATTGCTGGGTCCACTCTGCCAAGCAGGGCAGAGCCCACACCTCCTGCAGGTGAGCTAAGCTGCCTGGGGTATGTTTTGTGTTTTCGTTTTTATGAGCTGCTCTCATCAGCACACATGCCCCAAATGGCTGATAAAGCCAGACTGGCGTTAGCTGCAAATTGTAAATCAGCCCAGGGGTTCATCTGTGATGAGCAAGACAAAAACAGAAACAAGCCAAGTCTTCAGCCGGAGTCGGAGGGATTGACCTCACCTGAAAGAACTTTCTGATTGTGATTGTTGGAAGCTACTGGAAAGCCGCTGGACTTTCAGAGACAGAATGGGAGGCATCTGTGAGTCAAGGGAGTCAGCCAGTTTGGGTGAGGTTTTTTCTTTTGTTTTGTTTTGTTTTGTTTTTTTTTGAGACAGTCTCACTCTGTTGCCCCGGCTAGGGTTCTGTGGCATCAGCCTGGCTCACAGCAACCTCCAACTCCTGGGCTCAGGCGATCCTTCTGCCTCAGCTTCCCAAGTAGCTGGGACTACAGGCATGCACCACCATGCCCAGCTGATTTTTTCTATATATTTTTAGTTGGCCAATTAATTTCTTTCTATTTTTAGTAGAGACGGGGTCTCACTCTTGCTCAGGCTGGTCTCAAACTCCTGACCTCGAGCGATCTGCTCGCCTCGGCCTCCCAGAGTACTAGGATTACAGGTGTGAGCCACCGTGCCTGGCCTGGGTGAGATTTCTAGAGAATCTTCTACCCCAGCTCCTGCCCTTGGGTTCCCTAATCTGGAAAGAGGAGAAGATAATGGGGAAAAGTGCCAGTGGCACGAAATTTAAGTTTGTTTTTTATGTTTGGCAACCACTCATTGAACACTTAATGTGGGAGGCACCAGGTGAAGCTTTTTGCTCATTTCTTTGTCTTATTTAACCCTCACAACACCTCCGTGAGGTTGGAACTCCCATTATCCCCCGTTCAGACTGTAAACCGAGGCTCAGAGAGGTTAGCTGTGTGGCCCAACATCACATAGCTGGCTAGCGAGGGGACCCGGGCTATTGTCCTTTCCCGAACAGGTTGCACAGTTACTACGAAGTCGCATCAGGTGAGGAAGCCCTTGTGGCCAGGGTTTATCATCTCAGAGTACAGAGTTTCCCACGCAGAGAACACTGAGGGACCAGACAGGATTTTACAAAAGTACTTTTAATGCAGTTAAGACCGGCGCCACCTGCCCCTGGCCGAGCCCCGGCTCTGCGGCCATGGCTGGTGATCTGGACACCCTGCGCACAGGGCCAGTCAGCTCCCTATTTCTTCTTGGTCTTCACCAGGCCTTTCTGCACCAGGCTGCGATAGAGCTCCTGGATGTAGGTGTAGACACACTTGGAGTCGGGCACTGCCAGGCGCACCATGTCATCCACCTCCAGCAGCTGGGCACAGTCGGCCAGTTTCCTGCGGGGCGGAGTGGGGTGGGGGGCAGAGGGTCAAAGGTGAAGGCTGTGGGAACCAAGGGCATGGGTGGGGGCAGCCCAGCAAGGATGAACCTACAGAATCATGTGTTGGAGCTGGGAGATCATCCGAGCCAACCATCCTGTTGTTCAGATGAGATAACTGAGGCCCCAGCGGAGTTAAGACCCAAACCCAGCTATGTCTGACTCGAGAGCCCATGTTTTCACTACACTGTGTGTCCTCACTTGCAGGACCCTCTAGTCTCTGGTTCTGCATTAACCCAGCCCTTTCACTTGCACGTGTATCTGTCCTTGGGGACCAGGGAGCTCCTGTTAGGCCAGGCCCCTCAGGAAGAATTTAAAGGGCAGAAACCAAATCCTAGCCAGAGAGCTGGTTTGCAGCTGCAGCTCCCAAAGTGTCATTCGTTCCGTCTCCGTGGTTTCATTGAGAGTTGCTGTGTGCCAGGTACTTTCTAGGCTCTGGGAATTCAGCAGTGAACAAAACCCAAACTTCCCCACTCCCATGGCACTGAGACAGACAGTAATCACTGCAAAAAGTAGACGGTGTGTCAGATGGTGAGAGGTGCTAAGGAGAAAACCAGGGCAGGGAAGGGAGACAGGGTATGTGCGTATGTCAGAGGAGGGATCTGGTACGTCTTAATAGGGTGCTCAGGGAAGGCCTCTTAGAGAAAGTAAGTCATGTGCGTATCTAGGGGAAAGGAGTCCAGGAAGAGGAAAGAGCGTGTGCAAAGGCCCCAGGGCAGGAGTGCTTGGTGTGTCTGAGGAGCTGTGTGGCGTTTAGCAGCAAGTCTTCATCCCCTGCGCCCCAGCTGCCCTTTGGGGCTGTGTGTCACTCTTGGCTTTGCTGAGGCCGATAATCCGAGCTGATCACTGTTGGGGCCTCACTGCCACATGCCAGGTGCTTCATCAGAGACGTCCCCTCGGACAGTCTCATCTACTCCTCCCTTCCATCCTCCGCCAGCAGAAGAGGAACTGGAGACTCAGAGGGTTTTGGTGGTTCGCCCAAGGTCAAAGTGAGTGACACAGCCGGGGCTCAGCCCCAGGCCTGCCTGACGCCCCTGGTGTCCTTGCACTCAAGCCAGGTCTCAGCAGTCCCAGCCTGCCGAAGCTGGCCGTGGTGCTTGAGTGGGAGAAACGAGGGCTCTGTTGAGGCTGAGGTGGCTGCGTGGAAACCCACGCTGGGCTGGCCTGGGAGCCGGGGGAGGGGCACAGACTGGGGACTTGGGAGGATGGGGCACACTCCCTGCAGCCACGGCAGTGGGCTCAGCCCACGGGTCCGGGTGCTGTCCCCGACGTGGGAGAGGCAAAGCCTTCATGCCCACTGAGCCTGGGGAGTGGAGGAGGGCTCCCCGAGCTTCGCAAGGAGCCCACTGGGGGCTCTGGCATTGGCCACTCCCTCCCACTTCATCCCAGGACTCTGCGGGAATCAGAAGAGAGTTCTAGAACGGGGTAGTGGAGTGTGATGGCTGCAGCAGACACCCCTTACTTTTCACAATCTTCGCACCAAACCCCTGTGATATGAGGCTTCCAGAGAGGTTCATTCAGCTGCTGAGGGTCACAGAGCTAGGAAGGAAAAGGCGGGATTCGAACCCAAGCACCTCACTTCTACTCTCCGCCTCCATCCCCACACATCCCCATTACCTCCTTTGCTTTTTGCTACCTGATGCCTCCGGTCAGCCTGTCTTCCTCCTGCCTCCTGTGGCTCTGCCCAGCTTGGCACCAGAGGCCAGGCAGCCACGGGAGCGGGACAGCGGCCGGTGCCCTACAGCCCAGGGCCACAAGGTCAAGGCAGAGCTGCGCATCCTTCCGATGTTCACTTAGAGCTTTACGTCTAGACTAGGAGTTTCACCTCCAAACCCTGGTCCTGCCACAGCCCTCCTCTGTGAGCTGGAAAATAATGTAACCTCTCTGCCTGTGTCCACACTATGGGACTGTTGTGAGGATCGGACGAGGTGATTTGAGAAAAGCTCCGAGCAGAACGCGCACACCGAGTCACTGGAGTGGTGGGCTTGCTGTCATTACAGGCGTTCCTGAGCCCACGGCAGGACAGGTGCTCCCCAGCCCTCGTCCCCCTGCAGGGCACCCACCCCGTCCCTTGGTAGGATAATGCGAAACTGGAAGGGACCCTCTGAGGCATTGAGCCTGATGGTTTATGGCATCCTTGGTGTCCTGGGCCTTGTGGACACGCCTCGGGGGCCATCCTGGGAAGGGGGGCTTGGGCGCTGAGCTCCTCCCAATCTAAAAAGGTCTCCCTTTAATCTGTTTCATATGTCGCACATTCACTTCATGTTTTGTTTGAGGCAATCTGCTGGAAAAAAACGTGAAAAGCTTGGATCAATGCTGATCTCTCATCTGCCAATGTGGACATGCAGGCTTCTCTGCAGGCTGCCGGCCAGGCCTGGACTAGGACAGAGGGCGGGGCCTGCCAGACCAGAGTGCCCTATCATCCCCGTGCACTGGCTCCCTGTCCTAGGGCTAAGGAACTGCGCTCAGCTGTCCCTCCCAGGGCCTCAGAGTCGCTCTCATTGGCTGCACCTGTGTGCGGCCCTGCCTACCAGGCAGCTGAGAATCTCTGGGTCCAGCATCTCTGGGTCCCTCCCCGATGCCTGCTGCAAAGCTGAGCTCCTGTGAGCCCTCAGGCCATCAGGGGACATTCACCGCAGGGAGCCCCAGTAGATTCGTGGCCTCTGGCTAAGGCTGGCTTTGGCGCTTAGGTGATGGAAGCACCTCCCCCTCAGCCACCGCCCAGGCACCCACATCTTTGCCTCTCAGGTTTCTGCTTGGGCCAGAGGTCTGGGAGGAAATGAGGAACCCACACTCTTGCTCACACCCCTCCTGCCTTTCTATAATAGTATCCCGCCCTTTCTCCAGCTACCACCACCCCTGACCTCAGCAATAACTCCCCTCCAGGCTGCAAAGTGAGTATAACAACCGTGATAGCATTCATTTTAATATAGTAACAGCAGCTAAGATTTTCTGAAGTGCTTACCGTGGGCTGGTTCCTAGATATAGGAACTTAATTATTGTACTTGATTCTCACAATCACCCAGCAAAAGAGGAACCATCATGCCCATTTTAGAAATCAGAATATGGAGGCTCAAAGAGGTAAAGGAGTCCATCAAAGATCACACAGCTGATAAATGGCAGGGTCAGAGTCTGAGCCCAGATCTCTGCAGCCCCCCTATCTAAAACAGCAGGCCTGCCTCTCCTCTGTCCTTACCCTGCCTGCATTTTCCCTATGGTCCTGTCACCACCTGGCATTACATGTCATATCTGTGTGTGTTTATGATCGGTCTCGCCCTTTAGAACGTGAGCCATGGGTGAGCAGGGGTTTTTGTCTG